CACAGCTGGTGTACAGACAGGGCCTGGCTTCTGGGGACAGCAAAGCCCCAGGTGAGGAGCAGAAATAAGGGTGACCATATGGGGGCCAAGTCATCCTTCAGTTCCTGGCTGTTCCATGTGGGAGGAGAGATGAAGACTGGAGACCCCACCCCCACCCCTGTGGTGTAGGAATGTGACTACTGGACATTGGCCAGCTCCACCCTCCAAACCAGAGAATGCTGCCCAGCACGCCTACCTCTGCAGGCACCTGGGGAACAACGCAGTGTGGGGGATGTTCTGGTCACTCAGGGCACTGACTGTCCAGGGCTGGAGTAACCCTCAGTCCCGCTGGGCAGGTGGGGAGGGAAGGAGACCTGGCCCTTTCCAGCCTTCCTTCCCACAGCTCTGAGGTAGCCTCCCCAATATATCTTGAAAGGCCTGGCTGGGGGTCCCCATACCAACTCTGCCCAGGACCCCCCAGAGGCTAGGAGAGCTGCCCATGCCTCAGGCGGTGAGTCTCCCTTGGTACCACTCCTCAGTTTTCCCATCTGGGGCTGGTGGGCTCCAGCATACAGATGAGGGTCTGTGAAGAGTTAAGCCTGGCTGGGGCGGGGTTCCCCCACCCATCCTATTATTGCTAGCTCAGGAAAAGGCATATTTTCCCCATGACTTCACAGGCCCGCAGATCCTGTTAGGAGGTGGGAGCAGCCTCCCCTCAGGCTTCGGGAACCCTCCTTCCTCTTAGACTCCTAGATGCCCCTCTCCACAGGCCCCTCAGGCCCCTCCCCTTAGCTCTGGGCCCTTCCCTGGACCATCCCTGGGGGGATTTTCCTGTTCTTCTTGGGCCTGAGGCACCCAAACCTCTGACCTCAAGGCCAAAGGCAGTCACCCACCTTTTCTGATCCCCTTGGCCTTTCTCCCCTAGCATCCTTGGCACCTAAACAGAGCAGGCTCTGGGCTCTGGAAGGCGCAGGCATGAAGTCAGGTGCCATACTTTAACCAGCTGCCCCTCCCTGACCCTTCCTGCTTAGCAGATGGAGGCTGGTCAGGGAGCTCAAACTCGCTCTGTCCCTTCCCCAGGGGCAGCTAACAGCCTTCGAGCCCCCTCGTATCCACCCAGCAGCCCGGCCCAACCCTGCTTAGGTCTGGGTCCCCAGCTACCTTCTGCTTGCTTGTTGTCAGCTCCCCACTAGCAGGGCTGATGGCGAGATGGAGTCGGGGAGACCATTAAGGGCTGTTCCATCTCACAGACAGTTTCGACCGTCTCTGTGTTGTTGGGAGAAGTGGGTTTGGGCAGGTCTGTCACAGTGGGGACTGGCCCTCTGAGCCTCAGTTCCCTCATCCTAGAAACCCACGGTGATCGAGTCTCTTCAGACTCCTGGTGACCCTCCCGAACTCACTGGACCTGCTCCTTAGGGTGTCCCAGGCTGGAAATCTTTAGGGAAGCAGACAGCCTCATCGCTCTTCCAAGGAGCAGCTGGTGGGCTTGAACCGCTGACATTATAGTTAGCATCCTAACACTTAATCCATAGCACCACCAGGACCCCTTTCAAGGAGCGGGTGATGATATTGGATGGAGGTAATATTCTATCAGTGATCCTCGGTGGGGAGTGTTCCATCTGCCTAGGTACACCCCACACGTCCTCCAACCTGCCCAGGTACCTTCCATCTGCAGTCATCAGCAGCCTCCTAGGGTGGCCCAGAAGGAGAACTGCCTAGGAGCTGTGGCTGCCTGGCTGGGTGTCCAAGCATCCCGCTGCCTGATTTAGCCTGATAGGAGATGAGGTGTGGGCGGAGCCAGGAGGACACTGGGTCTTCACAGGAAACTGGGAGGCCAGGGCCTTGGCCTAATTGGCGGGGTGGGGGCATGCTGTGCAGAGGGAGGGCATGAAGGGTCCCCAGGAGGGGCAGCATGAGGTTGGTGCCAGAGGAACCACTGGGTGTAGACAAGCCAGGTCTGCAGGGCCATGACCCACCCTTGTGGATTCGTCTGGGCACTGAGCAAAATCTGTGTCCCGATCCGGAACATGGCCCCTCAGGGTGCCTTCTTCCAACCTCATGGCTTTCCTCCAAGAGAGGCAGGTCTCCCATCAAAGAGGATGGTGGGAGTCCTCTCCCAGAGAGGATGGTGGGAGTCCAGACGTGTGCAGGCCTCACAGCCTGGGGTGATCACTCAGCTCCCCGGGGCTGTGCCCACCAACACTGGAATGTGCTATCTGATTGTAACCCCACCCACCTGGCCTGCTCCAGCTCTGGCTCGGGTGGGGCTGCAGGGCTCCCCAAGGGTGAGGATGGCACAGGCTTGGGCGAGCACAGGTATAGGCTGTTACCACCACAGGTCCCACCAACGTGCCCTCCCTCTGCCTCTGCACACGGCTGCCCACACCACGTGCCCCTTTTCTGCCCATTCCCGCCGTACAGACTTACGCTGAAGGTGACTTTCTCCAGGAGCCCTCCATCACGCTGCCTTGTTCAGGGTCAGCTTTCCCTGGAGGCAGTGCCTGGTAGAACTGCAGGACCCTCAAAAGAAGGTCACTCAGACAGACAAAGGAGTGGGTGGATGGACAGACAACCGGATGGATGAATGGGTGACAGACAGAATGACAAAGGGATGGGTGGGTGAACAGATAGACTGTCGGGGACCCGCCTCGACATTGGGGTTCAGTTCACGAGGGGAGGATACCTGACGGCGACTCAAGAATACACAGAAAGAGACAAAGGAGACAAAGAGAGAGACAAAGAGGCACCCCAAAGCCAGGGTGGATACATCACTGATAGGCAGGCTTGGGAATACAGGCATCGTGGCCTCTGCAGGCAGCAACTCACTGCCCTGCAATCTTTACCGCATGCCTTCCAGCCAGTAATGCACTGCTATCTTTACTCTATGCCTGCCAACCAGTAATGCTACCTGGGGAGGCCCGGGCCTCTGCTTTATTCAGGGGAGGAGTTTCACACCAAGCTGGGAGGGACTTAGGCAAGGTACAGCTAACATCAGTACTTTTCCAGACATTCAGGTAACTTTACATAGTACATCACTGGTTCGAATCCCAGGCCAGCAACTTGGATTCTCAGGCCCAATTAACATATCTATAGTCCCTGAGCATAGTTGGGGGAAGGTGAGAGATAAAGACAAAAGCTTGGGCAGAGTCCTGCTGCTTTGGCTTCCTGAGCCAGGTCTGCAGGAGGACTCCAGACGCCCAGGTGAATGGGCTGCACCTGGAAAAGGATTAGGGAGGATGGGTTCTTTGTCTATGGAACAAAGAGCTGTGAAGTAGCTAAGACATTTTTAGTTAATCCTTTGGAGAAATGCTTAACCTAACAACCTTCAGTCTTGGCTTTAGGAAAATATCACATTTATCTGTGGATTGTCAAAGGCTCCAGTGTATTAATTTAATATATATACCTGAATATTAATATGAAAGCAATTTGCCATTAACTGCCAGTGGCCTCATTTGTTACACTCGGCCCTAGCGGGCCTCGAACCTCTGATTAGTCTTACACGGTCTGCAACAATAGACCAAGGATTGGGTGGGTAGACAGACAAAGGGATGGGTGGATGAACGGGTGGGTGGACGGGTAGGTAGGTGTCACCTGTCTGGAGATGCTCTTCCCAGCTGGTTCATGTGGGAAGGATGCCCTTGTGGGGAGAGAGCAGCTCTGGAGACAACAAGACACCTTAGAAGCTTTTGCTGTAAGTGCATTTCCCTCCTGCCTCTTGGGCTAGATCAGATTGTTTTTTTGTGTGTGTTTTAATGAAAATGTGTAATTGTTGAAAAGTTGAGATGTAGGCCGATGGCTATAGTGAGTGTCTAATGGAAGGAGGCAGCACCCTGACTTCCAGGGTGACTCTTGGGAGCAGGGCTTGGCTGCCATCTCCTTACGTCTGGAGTAGCATTTCTGGACTCCTCACTTCAGGTCAGGCCATTTCACCAGCCTGAGCACCCTTTGAGCAGGTCAAGGTTGCATCACTGTGTTGACTAGTCGTCTCCTGAGAGGCAGAACTGAGATACTGTACACACACACCTCGTTTTATTGAGCCCCACAGATGTTGCGTTTTTTACAAATTGAAGGTTTGTGGTCACCCTGCGTCAAACACATCTACACCATTTTTCCAAGTGTGTGCTTGTCACATTTTGATCATGCTCACGATATTTCAGACTTTTCCATCATGCGATTACCATAGAGGGGAACGATCACTTCTCTACACACTGGGAAACCAAGATATTCATGTGACGCGTTTTATTGTGGTTAGGCTATGACCTGGGGTGATGCCGTAGAATAAGTACTTGACTGCAGGGTCAGTGGTTCAAACCCACCAGTCGCTCCTCAGAAACTATACAGGGTCAGTACTTAACAACAACAACAACAACACCTAAAGGGTTCATGCACTTGGCTGCTAACCCTCAGGCTGGAGACTTCAGTCTACTTGCCTTGTAGGAAAGTCGTTAATCTATGTATGAAAAATCATCTACTGAGAACTCTGTGGGGCACAGTTCTACTCTGACCACACGGGGGCACCATGAGTGGGATCTACTTATGAAAAAACATCCACTGAGAACCCTGTGAGCACGGTTCTACTCTGACCACACGGGGGCACCATGAGTGAGATCTTATGAAACACCATCCACTGAGAACCCTGTGGGGCACAGTTGTACTCGAACATAGGTGGTGTGCCATGGGTTGGGGTTGACTTAGATGGTCACTAGTTTTCAGGTCTATAGGTCTAGAGATTTGTTGTCAGGGGCAGAAGGTGGAGAGGCTTTTTTTTTGTTGTCAGGCATCGGCCAGAGGCTGGCTGTCCAGGGAGAGCAAGATTTTGTGGGGATGGCTGGCTCCTGGAACCTTCTGGTGTTGGGCTAGGCCGAGGCCTAGGGCCACAGTGGCTTAACCCCTGGGGCCTTCGTGGCTGCTGGCTCAGTGTACGTGATGGGGAGTGGGGCACACAGGGCCCTCACAGCAGAAGCCGCACTCAGACGGGAGAGGCTACTTAATAACATCCTTTCTGCCCTGCAGCCTGCTTGGCCCGCATCAACGCCCTGTCTCTGGTCTACCTTTTGTTCCTGTTGCTGCTGCCTTGGTTCCAGGGCCCCACCCTTCAAAGCATCCGAGGTAAGCAGCACCCCCCAGGCCAGCTTCCCTGTGGCCTGCAGGTATTGAGGGAGGGATGAAGTTTCTCCTTGGAGTCAGACATCCCCAGAGTTTTATTTCCTACTGTAATCTCAGCTAGTGTTGGAACCTTCCTTTGTATCTCTGTTCTCACTGCACAGGTTGAAGGTGATGGGGCGGGGGAGAGGAGGAGGACCATGGGGCCCCCCAGGATGTGATGCCCCCTCCCTGAGGGATGCCGCTGCCCGCCCTCCCCCAGCTCCCATCTCCTGTCCCCTCAGTGCCTGTAGCGCTGCTTGTGGCTCCATGCTGGTCCCACTCAGGTTTTGAGCTCCTGGAGGCAGGGGCTGCATCTTCCTCACCTTCATTCTGGGACCAGGTGCCCACACCAGGGTCTTTGGGGTTGGGCACAGCCCTGAGACCCTGTGGCTTGGGTCTGCCAATTCTGTACACACTGGTGGCCAGTGTGGCCGATGGCAGGGAGGGTCAGGCCCAGACACTCACACCAGCTTCCTGGGTTCATCAGAGCCACCCCTGCACCGGCTTCTTGATAGGACCCTGGCTTCAGACTTCAGGGAGTGGACTGGAGGGAAGGAGAAACACGGGGTTCAGGGGGTGAATCCTGGGGAAGCAGGTTACCACAGTGTGAACTCTAACCCCACAGAGGCGAACGTAAGCAGGGTGGATGGAGGGCCAGCGAGGAACGTCCCAGTGGGAAGTGGCTGGGCACAACAGGCTGGGTGCTCTGGGGCCATGAGTGGGTGCATTTCCCATTGCTGCTGAAGCAAACGAGCTCCCAGCCTTAGAACAGCACATTCCCTCACGGGTTAGGGTTCCCCACAGGTCTCACGGGGCTCAGAGCACGTGTTCACAGATGGCTGCCTTCTGGAGGCTCCGGGTCAGATTTGGCTCAGTGGTGTCGGTTTGGTTTGGAGAGACGTCTACGTGCCCTGGCTCCCACTCCTATTCTTCTGCCAACCTGGCCACTTACAGGAGTCCTGGGTTACACTGGGCCCACCTGAGCCACCTGGGATGAGTCTCCTGTCATGTGACGTGACACATTCACAGGCTCTGGTGTGGAGGTCACAGGCCTCTTTGGGGACTGTAGCCACCACCGGGTGAAAGGTGCCCCCCATCTGACCCATTGGCAGCTAGCTCTCACTGCCCTGCAGGCCCCTCCTCACTCAGGACACTTTGCAGAGAGGACATTGGTCTGGACGGGGTAGACTTCGATGTGAGAGTCGGGAGACATTTCACAGAGGGGACTGCATTACCCAGAACCCCCAAAGGCAGCTGCCTCTACCAGACTGCTGGTCCACAGCTCAGGGTGGAGGGAGGGTCAGCCTCTCCTCTTCCAGCCGGGAGCCTGGTGGGACACGGTGGGGGGAGTTAGACAGGCATCACCCCCCGCACACACACACACACACACTGCCTTGCTTTTTCTGCCAGCCTCCGTGTCCCCAGCTGAAAGCCGTTTGTTCCGTAAATATTTCATGCCCTGAGTGCCTTTGGAAACGCTTCGCTCAGATCCGCTGTGGAGAAATCAGGCCCAAAGTCCAGAGCCAGGAAGGAGGGCGGCTGCCGGAAAGGGGGTGGCCAAGAGGGGACAAGTCAGAAAGCAGGGCTCCCCGTCCGATCCCTCCGTCCATCCATTCCTCTGTCCTCAGAGGCCCTTCGAGGACACTGCCCAGGTTTTCCAGCTGGGAGGAGGAACTTGTGAGCCAGGCCCAGAAGATCTGATTCTGAGCCGGGCCCCATGGTCAGCTACTTGCCCGCACTGTGTGGGCGTCCTCCTGGTCGTGATTGCAGGGAGGGCAGGGCAGCCCTGGGTGGACAGTCCTCAGGGACGTTCCAGGCCTTACTTAGGACATAGGTTCACATGCACTGACGTTTCTGGGGCCCAAGGTGTCTGGGATTTGGTCCCTCCTGTGATTCTGCGGGCTTTTAGGGGCTCGAGGAGCCACATCTCGGCCTCAGCACAGAAATGCCAACCTCCCACCTGCAGTCAGGCCCTCACTCTGGGTGGGTAACATCCCCTGCTTCTCACCTCCAGCAGGGTAGGGGTCCAGGCCAGGCTGGTCAGCATGAGTGATGTCACTGACCACTGCCTGCCCCTAGCCCCCCTTCTGGTCCAGCTGTTACTGCCATCACCCGGCCGGCAGCTGGCTCAGGCGGAGACGGTGCCTCACTCTGGCAGCCAGAGCTGGCTCTGCACTGTGAGGTTCCAGGAGGCGGCGGCCGAGGCTGGGACGGCTGAGGAGTGGGAGGGCACTGGGCTCTGTCCACCTCTACTTTCTGACCACAAGCTGCCATTTTAGCTCTCCCAGCCTCTGTTTCCTCATCTGTGAAATAGGGAGGTAGTGACAGTCATCTCACTGGTTTGTGGAGGCTGAGGGTGAGGGGCTCCCCTCCCAGGAAGCCGACTCCACCCAGTGAGCTGTCCTGGGAAGAGGCTCCAAATTGGAGAAATGGGCTTTTCCTGATAAGCACAATGGCCTGCAGGCCGTCCATCCTGTGACGGACACCCAGGCTTAAATGGTCAGATCCTGCCCAGACCACCTCCCCTCCTGACGGTCCATCTGCTTCACTGCATCCCCAAAGTCTGCCATCCTCATGACATCATCACGTTTCAAACCCCTTGACAGACCCTCAGGCTGTGCACCCTTGACCCCAGAGGCCCGTTCACCTCTCCTCCTACCCCAGGGCCTTTGCACAGCTGCTCCTTCTGCTTAGCGCCTGTACCCCTCCAAAGCTTGAGTGCAGGCCGTTGGCATGGTGCGCCTCTTGGTGGCCTGCTCCCCACCACACATGTTCTTAGTGTCTGGGCAGAGCAGCTCGTCCGTCTGCATCCACACCATCAGGGTAGAAGCAGGGGCGTTCTCCTCCCTAGCCCAGCGCCTTGTTTGTGAATGGGCTCAGAGTCCACTCCATTATGAGGGGGTGCCGGTATGTGTTGGGCTCAGTCCCAGACAGCACCCTGTCCAGTCTGCCCCGTCCCTTGAGCCGCGCCCACCCACTCTGCCAGCAGGTCACACTGGCCGCCTCCTTCGAGCCCTGCTGTGCACCAGCCTCCTCTTCCTGACTGCTCACCTGGTCTTCCAGATCTGCCTGCACACGGTGCCCCGCCTGGACCAGCTACTGGGCCCCAGCTGTGAGTGGGGGTGGGGGAGGGGGCAGGGGCCATTGAGGGGGGGTGGTCTTTGTGAGGTGACCTAGATGCCAGGGAAGAGGAGCTCTGGTGGCATAGTAGGTTACGCATTGAGCTGCTAACTGCAAGGTCAGCAGTTTGAATCCACCAGCTGCTCTGCGGGAGGAAGATGTGGCTTTCTGTGCCTATAAAGATTTATAGCTTCAGAAACCCTGTACAGGGTAGATGGGAGTTAGAACAGACTCGAGACCACACCACCACCACCACCAGGTGCCTTGGAGGCTGCTGGGGGTGAACAGGAGCTGCCCTCACCCAGGCCTGGCCCCTCAGCCACCCTGCCTCCCAGGCTTTGCCTAATATGGGCTGTCCTGAGCATGGAGAGATTTATGTCCAGGGCTCATGGCTCTATGCAAAGGACTTCCAGTACTAACCAGCCCCAAGGCTGGGGCTGAGAACAGCACAGAGCTAATCCAGACTGGGTCCAGACTCAGCCCCTGGTCCCTCCAAGGTCATACTGTCCTGTCAGCGCCCTCCTCTGGCTGGCTGGAGACCTTGGTCCTACCTGCTGTCCTGTTGGTGCTTTCCTGACCATGGGCATCCAGCCTGCCCCCAGCGGTGCTGCATGTCCCACCTGACTCCTGGGGTTTTAGAGGGTGGCCCCTGTTTTCTCACTGGTTTGGAACTGAAGCCTAGGGCCAGGTAGCATGCCCACTGTGTACCAGCAGCCCTGCCATCTGCCCCCAGGCTGGGGCAGCAGACCCTGGGACATGTGTAGGCACCGGAGACTGGTGGCAGACCCCAGGTAGTTCCCACCAGCAGCCTGCATGTCCCCTGACCCCGGTTCCTTATGTCCTCCTCTGCAGGCAGCCCCTGGGAGACCCTGTCCCAGCACATTGGGGTCACGAGGTAAGAGCCTCCCTTGGGGGTGGTGACCGGGGTTGAGGAGGGGCCAACATCCTCTGAAAGTTGTACCCAGGCCTGACCATACATCCCGCACAGGCTGGACCTGAAGGACATCCCCAACTCTGTGCGGCTGGTGGCCCCCGACTTGGGCATCTTGGTGGTCTCCTCTGTGTGTCTTGGCCTCTGTGGGCGTCTCTCCAGGAAAGCCCAGAGGACCCAACACTCCCAGGAGCTGGTGAGGGTCCAGGGCAAGTGGGCGGGTGTGGACACGTGCTGGATTGTGGGCAGGGGACCTCCCATGGAGAGCAGAGGAGCTGATTTCCCCCTCCCCCCAGGTCCTCAGGGCTCCCACATTTGAGATTTGGAGTATGTCCTCTGGACTGCTAACAGCTAGGTCAGTGGTTCAAGCCCACCAGTCACTCCTTGGAAACCCTATACAGGGTCACTGAGAGTCAGAACTTCACAACTCAATGAAACTTCACAAACACAAACAACCACCTCCGAGTATCAGAGACGCTAGCGTCTCTACGTGTCTGTGTCCCCACAGCTGCACATGGGGACCCTGACCATGATAGGGGCAGTGTGTGGGGCTGACTCTGAGGTTCTGCTTTGATGGCTGTGAGCATTCCCCCGGCAGCTGAGGCCCTGCTCTGGGAACAGCTGACCTGGTGTCCTGGTTGTCGGTGGCTCAGCGCCCCACCCCAGTCCTGGTGTTGACCTAATAAGGCCTGTTCCCGAGGGCTGGGGCAGGATTCATTACCACAATTTATGACCACCCAGGTGTCAAGCATGGGCCCTTGTTTCACCCTACCCCCACATGCATGTGTCAATTGCAGGGGTCCTTGGGCCTGTGTGCGCCTGGGGGTCTCAGTTGCCTCTTGTCAGCCCCAGTCACCAGGAGGCGCTGGGCTGGGTGGCCTCTGGATTACCCAGGAGCCCTGCTTCCTGGGACAGCTCTATCAGGAATGGCTGGATGGTCCCAAAGCTCAGGGTGTGCTGACCATTTCCCAGGGAGAGGGGGTTACCCATCTCAGATGGTCATCTACCCCTGGAGGCCCTGACGCCCTGCTGGAAGGGTCAGCATGTTGGGGCCTCAGTGGTAAATGAGAGGAAGGTAGTGGACAGATGTTAGTCCTGGTCCTTGAGATCCGGCCAGAGGCAGTGACCATCTAGCACACCTAAACCACAACACAGACACAACCATAAATGCCAGCTGGATACGAACACACGTGACAGACACATGACAGACACAGATGCCGGTCATTTGGACGTGCGCTCACACATAAGTGTTCTAGCATGCACACACACATGCTCCGGTGGGGATCTGGGTCTAATGGGTGTGGGGCCACCCCTGAGCACCTGCCTTCCAGCAAGGCGCCTTTCCACAGCCCTCGACCCGGGTTTGCTGGGCCATGCCAGGCCATGGACAGTGATCCGGGTCTGGCAGCATTCCCCACCGCAGGCTGGCCCCATTGCTGGGGTCACCACACATGCATGCCAGGGTCCAAGGAAGGCCTTGGGCAGGGGGGAGTCTCTGGCCCCAGCCCTGCCAGTGGCTGTGTGGCGTCGGTCCGGCTCCTGCTGTCCCCTTTGCCTCTACCCGTCCTCCAGGACCAGGCGAGTCCACAGGTGACCTGTTTGACAGGTGAGGACCCTGGGCTGCTTGGCGGTCAAGCTGTGCGGTGTCCTCTTCACTATACCCCAACCTGCCCTCCCTGTGGGCAGCAGAGTTGGAAGAGAAGGCCAGCTGCTCAGCCCCAGGCTGGCCCGCTTCTTGGGGGGGTGGAGGGGGCAGGAGGCAGGGTCACACAGGAGGTCTCAAGCCTGAAAGTTCCCAGAGGCCTGTGCAGCAGGAAGGGAGCAGGTGACCCGACTAAGTGCCCGAGTGCCGAGGAGCCATACTTCCACACTCCCTTCCTCTCTCCTTTCTCGCTAAGTCTTTACTGGGCCCTTTGCTGACCCACCATACTGCCAGGAGCTTAAGGCCCACCCATCCTTATGAGAGAGGGGTGTTCCAGAGTAGCCCCCGGCCAGCTGGCCATAGTCAGAGCCCCGTGATGTTCAGATGGAGACCAGGAAGGTCCACAGGGTGGCGAGCAGGCAGGCAGACCCTGGACATGGTGGAGGCAAGGGGCCTAGGCGGAGATGATGGTGGGTGTGTGTCCCAAGGGGCTGGACCCTGAGACTGACCATCAGCACACCCATGGAACAGCTGTGGGGCCACGTGGCTAGCTGCTGTCTCTCCTTACCCTGGCAGGACAATGACAATGATGAGAGGGAAGTGGACCCCGGCTCCCTGGTGGGTTCTCGGGGCACCCCTGTGCTGGCGCACCAGAAGAGGTCGAGGCTGGCGGCCCGCTTCCGGATCACAGCCCACTGGTTGCTGGTGGCCGCAGCACGGGCCCTGGCCATTGTACTGCTGGCATTGGCAGGTACCCCAAGTGGGGTGGGTTCTCCCGGGGGTGGGGGGACAGGTCCCTGGAGTGGTCCCCGTGATGGTGTGGGATGGGAGCCCCCACAGGGTGTCATCGGGGGTCCTCACTGACTGACCCCGTGTGAGCTCACGTCTGCTGCCCTTATAGGCATCGCCCACCCCTCAGTCCTCTCCAGCGTCTACCTGCTGGTCTTCCTGGCCTTGTGTACCTGGTGGGCCTGCCACTTCCCCATCAGTGCCCGGGGCTTCAACGTCGTCTGCGTGCTGGTGGGCTGCTTTGGTGCTGGCCACCTCCTCTGCCTCTACTGTTACCAGACACCTTATGCCCAAAAGCTGCTCCCGTCCTCTGGCATCTGGGCCCGGTGAGCCTGCTTCTGGGGCCCTGACCACCCCACACCCAGACCCATGTCCCCGCCAGGCGCTGGTTGGTGATGACCCCCTTCTTTTGGCAGGGTGCTTGGTCTCAAGGACATGGTACAGCCCACCAACTGCTCCAGCCCCAACGTGCTGCAGCTGAACACCGGTCACGACTGGCCAGTCTACGTCAGCCCGGGGCTCCTGCTGTTACTCTACGGCACTGTGACCTCGCTGCTCAAGCTGCGGGGGCCCCCGCGCCCCACCCAGGTGAGCCCGCCCCATCACACTGCAGACCATGGCGGCCCCTGCTCGGCCTCCCGGAAGCTGACCCCACCTTGTGTCTGCAGAGGAAAGAGACAGCCGTCCACAATGAGGACTGGGAGGTGGAACTCACTGAGGTGGACCAGTGGCCCCAGGGCCAGGCGGGAGCTGCCATCAAGGACGAGGAGACCCAAGTGAGGGGTGGGCAGAGTGGGTGGGGGCCCCTATCGGGTGGGATCCAGGCGTTGCCCACTTCCTCATGCTCGTGCGTCTCTCCAGCATATGATGCCCCCCACTCCTGACATGGATGCTGACAACTGCATTGTACACGACCTGACAACCCAGAGCCCTGTGCAGCCTCAGCGACCGGGTAAGTGCAGCAACACAGGCGCCCCCTGGTGGCCACCATGCATGGCCTGGCTGCTTCACACAGCCCCTGGGGCCACATCACGTGGAAACACAAGCCATAGTAGCTTCCAGACACCCCTCCCTTGTGTGTTCTGAGCACCTCTGGGGGCAGTTGAGAGGGTCCCTGGTGGGTGTCACTTAGGACTGTGGCTTGGTGCTTTCTGGGTGTGCTTAATCTTTATCCTAAGCCCAGATTTCCCCTCTGTGGTTTGGTGTGTTGGGCCTCTCTCAGCCCCTGGGCCACCACGAGCATCTCCAGGCTCCGCTCCACCCCTTGTCCTGCCGTGGTGGGCCTGCTCCCACCTGTGACTGTCCCGTGTGAGGGCGGTGGTCTGGGTGCTGGAGCTTCTGGTGTGGCCCCACCCCACAGAGCGTCGCAGATTGGCCGAGCGCAGGGAGCTGTCCCCTTTGCATGGCCTGGGTCATCTCGTCATGGATCAGAGCTACGTGTGCGCTCTCATCGCCATGATGGTAAGGGGCTCTCACTGCCATCCTGGGGGAGGCAGTCATGGCTCCGGGGGTCGGCCAAGCCGGGTCCCAGCATGTGCATGCCCACGCCCTGCCCTGCCCTGGACTTGGCTGGGCAGAGTATGTGCGTCGTCCTGTCCAAGCGCCCTGTCATGTGGCAGGTGGGCACCCAGACCCCAACCACATAGACTCGTCCACCCTCCAGGTGTGGAGCATCACCTACCACAGCTGGCTGACCTTTGTGCTGCTGCTCTGGGCTTGCCTCATCTGGACAGTGCGCAGCCGTCACCAGCTGGCCATGCTCTGCTCTCCCTTCCTGCTGCTCTACGGGCTGACACTCTGTGGCCTACGCTATGTGTGGGCCATGGACCTGCGGCCTGAGCTGCCCACCATGCTGGGCCCCGTCAGCCTACACCAGCTGGGCCTACAGCATACGCGATACCCCTGCCTGGACCTCGGTGCTATGGTGAGGAGGCACAGGGGCCACGGGCTCTGTCCTATCAACGGAGTTGACATTGGGTGCGTGCAAATGTGGGAGATTGCGTATGTGTGAACCTGTGGGTGTGAGCGCATCGATTTGGATCTGTATGTGAGTGTGTATGTGTGTGTGTGTGTGTGTGTCTGAGAAGCCACGTGAGCTGTGTTCACAGCAGGGCTGATGTGGTGGTCTCTTGCCTGAGACACCTTGCTGACCACCCCACCCCACCCCACCCCCAGCTGCTCTACACCCTGACCTTCTGGCTCCTGCTACGCCAGTTCGTCCAGGAGAAGTTGCTACGGGAGGCAGCACCCCTGGCCGCACTGAGGGAGGTCACCGTGGGAGAGTCAGGTGAGCTGGACCCACCGAGTGTGGGAAGCTACCGCCCGCCTGCCCTCGGGGGGTCACACTACCCTTCCGCTGCCCCCAGGGTCCACACAGACGCAGACGCTGCTCCACCGCCTGGGGGAACTGGTCTCAGGCGTGTATGCCAAGTACTGGATCTATGTATGCGCCGGCATGTTCATCGTGGTCAGCTTCGCCGGCCGCCTCGTGGTCTACAAGATTGTCTACATGTTTCTTTTCCTGCTCTGCCTCACCCTCTTCCAGGTGCCTGTGGGGCTGGGGGCAGTGACAGGTCAGCAGGGAGAGAGGGTGGGGTGTGGCCCAGCTCACCTCTCTCCTGCCCAGCCTTCATGGCACCTCCCGCCCGCTGTCCTCTCCCCAGGTCTACTACAGTCTGTGGCGGAAGCTGCTCAAGGTGTTCTGGTGGCTGGTGGTGGCCTACACCATGCTGGTGCTCATCGCGGTCTACACCTTCCAGTTCCAGGATTTCCCCGCCTACTGGCGCAACCTGACCGGCTTCACAGACGAGCAGTGCGTGGTGGGCTGGGTGGGCTGACGGGGGGCAGCGGGCCAGCCGGGTGGTGCTGACGTCTGCTGCCCCCAGGCTGGGAGACCTGGGCCTGGAGCAGTTCAGCGTGTCCGAGCTCTTCTCCAGCATCCTCATCCCCGGCTTCTTCCTGCTCGCCTGTATCCTGCAGCTGCATTACTTCCACCGGCCCTTCATGCAGCTCACTGACCTGGAGCACGTGCCCGCCCCGGGGGCCCGCCCTTCGCCCTGGGCCCAAAGGTGCTGCCCACTCCTGTGCTCCAGCGGTTCCCCCAAGACGCTGCCAGGGTCTCCCTGAGCTGCAGAGAGGAGGGGATGGACAGGTCTGCCCAGGAGCCTGGTGGAAGCTGACCTTGGGTCCGTTTCAGGCAGGACGTGGTGAGCAGTGCGCCGCTGCTGCCGCATCAGGAAGAGGTGACAGCCCCCAGGGATGAGGAGCTGAGCACGGCCGGCCCCCACCAGGCCAAACAAGGTCCCGAAGGTGAGGGGCAGGCGGGGCCCCCAGAGAGTGCTGCCCAGGGGACAGGGCCGTCCGGAGGTCTAGGCCCAGCTCACCTCCCTCCCCGCCCCGCAGCCAACAAGTGGGGCCTGGTAGCAGAGCGGCTACTGGAACTGGTTGCCCGCTTCTCGGCCGTGCGGGCCTGTGTGCAGGTGTTTGTGCGGCGCCTGCTGGAACTGCACATCTTCAAGCTGGTGGCCCTCTACACCGTGTGGGTGGCCCTGAAGGAGGTAAGCACAGGTGGGGCTGGGCACCTCGCCCTCCGAGCCTCAGTCTCCTCACCTGTGAAATGGGTTCCGCCTGCCCCGCCCACTCCTCACAGGTGTCAGTGATGAACTTCCTGCTGGTGGTACTGTGGGCCTTCGCCCTGCCCTACCCCCGTTTCCGGCCCATGGCCTCCTGCCTGTCCACCATCTGGACGTGCGTCATCATCGTCTGCAAGATGCTGTACCAGCTGACTGTCGTCAACCCGCACGAGTATTCCAACAACTGTACACAGGTACCTGGGCACCCCTGCCCCACCCAGGGCTCACTCACTCTTTCCCACTGGCCACAAGTGCCGGTCATGGTGGGAAGGGTTCTAGGCTCTCCATGCTCCCCCCGCCCACGTGCCATAAATGTGGGATGGGAGCTGAAGGCAAGGCTGGGCTGGTGATACCTGGACCAGGGTCCAGCCCCTCACCTGCCCGACTCCCTGTGCCAGCCCCTCCTCAATAGCACCAACTTGCTGAAGACGGAGATCAACCAGTCTTTGCTGTACCGAGGTCCCGTAGACCCTGCCAACTGGTTCGGCGTGCGAAAGGGCTTCCCCAACCTGGGCTACATCCAGGTGAGCGGACGGAGGGAACCACAGGTCGGGGTTAATGAGTGGCCTGAGCTGTGAGCAGCAGACCCTGACCACTGCCCCCCTGCCCCCCTGCCCCCCCCCAGAATCACCTGCAGGTCCTCCTCCTGCTGGTTTTTGAGTCTGTTGTGTACCGGCGCCAAGACCACTACCGACGCCAGTACCAGTCGGCACCGCTGCCTGCCCGGGCTGTCTGTGCCGATGGCACCCGCCGGCGTCTGGACAACGACCTGCTCAGCTGCCTCAAATACTTCGTCAACTTCTTCTTCTACAAGTTTGGACTGGAGGTAAAGCTGCAGGTGTGGGCCCTTCCCTTGGGTGGAGCCTGTGGGGACAGATGGGCACTGATGTACAGCAGGCCCACTGCCCCGTGTCCACTGACGGGACTCAGATTCACAGTGTGACAGCGGTCTGTGGCTAGGCCTGCCCTGGGACTGACCAGAGACCGGGGAGTTGGGGTCAGGGACCCAGCTGAGACAGGATATGGGTTGGAGGCCCCCCC